GCTCAGTTCCGGCCACCAGGGGTGCTGTTGCTCCACTTTCTCATTGCTGGGATCATGAATCCTGCCATGCTTTACTTTTCAATTGCTTGCAATCACATTGTCTCATTGTGTACCAGCAGCAAGGATTAAACCTTTGTGCCAGCAGGACTGAAGACTGACAGGTTGGTGGTTTGAATCCGGGGAGAGCACAGATGAGCTCCCTCCGTCAGCTCCAGCTCCCCATGTGGGGACATGAGAGAAGCCTCCCACAAGGATGGTAAAACATCAACAAACAGGGGTGGCAGCGTCCCCTTGGCAACATCCTTGCAAACAGCCAATTCTCTCACACCAGAAGCGATTTGCAGTTTCTCAAGTCGCTCCTGACACGAAAAAAGGGTGTTGTCATGCTTGTACATAGTTTTGTTTTGGGGATGATGGGCCATGCCACATCCCATCACCGATTCTTCATTGGTGCCATTAGATATATGGCCAGATTCGTCGGGAGAGGGGCCACATCCCAAAGAAAGATTCAATGTTGATATTAGTTGATGATTGAATTGTCTACGTAACTTGTAATCCTTCAGCCCTAAGGACAACAAAGTGCCAAGATCGACTCCACTTTCTAAATGAGGCTTTGGGGAGCTTTTGGGAGCACGAAAGGCACACAATACATTGTTTTGTTTTGTTTTATCATTTAAAAGTATTGTTTTTTCAATAGCCAACATGGGATGTTTTGTTGCTTTTTGCAGGTGACGGACCAATACGGAACCGATGGTGGCTGTTCGTAAGCATCGTGGTATTATTATTCCTGGTAGGATTTTGCACAATCTGGAATTGTAGGAAAAAGAGGAAATGTTTCACCAGACAAGGTAAGGAAACAGACTTTAGAGCAGACGGAAATCTGCCTTGGTCAGGGCAAAAACATCCACTTGGAGACAACATCCTGTGTTTGTATTTCCATGTCAGCTGTGTCGATTTCCTTCTCAGTGTCATGGCCAGAGCATGGAAATACAGTACATGCATGAGCTTCTCAGTCTCACGGTTCCATCTACACCAGTGGTTCCCAACCTGTCATCTGTGGACCACTAGTAGTCCGCAAGGCAGCAACCACCCAGGCTTTGAAGCTGCAAGGCCATTCAATGCTAATCAAGGTGGCCAATGGCCACATTCACACTTGCCTCAAAGAGAGAGGAGTTCTTTCCACCACCCACCTCCCAACAAAAGATTCCCCCAGGCAGGAAGCAGCCAGGCTTTGAAGCTGCAAGGCCATTCAATGTTAATCGAGGTGGCCAATAGCCACATTCACATTTGCCTCAAACGGACAGGAGTTCTTTCCACCACCCACCTCCCAACAAAGGATTCCCCCAGGTAGGAAGCAGCCAGGCTTTGAAGCTGCAAGGCCATTCAGTGCTAATCAAGGTGGGCAATGGCCACATTCACACTTGCCTCAAACAGACAGGAGTTCTTTCCACCAACCACCTCCTAACAAAGGATTCCCCCAGACAGGAAGCAGCCAGGCTTTGAAGCTGCAAGGCCATTCAATGCTAATCAAGGTGGCCAATGGCCACATTCACACTTCCCTCACAGACAAGCGTTATTTCTCCCACCCTGGACATTATTTTGACACTACAATGCTATGAATGGTAAAAGTGACTAGGTCCAATCCCAAGCCCTCCCGACAGATGGCCATTCTGGCTCTGAATCATAGTATCGTAGAGTTAGAAGAGATCCCAAGAGCAACTCCAAGCACATTCTGCCATGCACAGAGACACAATCCAACCGCTCCCGACAGATGGCCATTCAGTTTCTGCGTTGTGCGTTTTCTGGGCTGTATTGCCATGTTCCAGAAGCATTTTCTCCTGACATTTTGCTTGCATCTATGGCAGGCATTCTCAGAGGTTGCCTGCCAGCTAACACCTTCCCCCCAGGCAGGAAGCAGCCAAGCTTTGAAGCTGCAAGGCTATTCAATCCTAATTAAGCTGGCCAATGACAACATTCATGCTTGCCTCATAGACAAGAGTACTTTCTTCCATCCTGGACATTATTCCACATCTATGTAAACCCCCCTTGCCTAGTTTCCAAAAGACCTCACAACCTCTGAGGATGCCTGACATAGATGTGGGTGAAACGTCAGGAGAGAATGCTTCTTGAACATGGCCAGACAGACCCGAAAACTCACAGCAACTCAATAATAATAATAATAATAATAATAATAATAATAATAATGGGTTGCTGTGAATTTTCAGACCTGGAAACCTTGCAACCTCTGAGGATGCCTGCCATAGATGTGGGCGAAACGTCAGGAGAGAATGCTTCTGGAACATGGCCAGACAGCCCGGAAAATTCACATCAACCCAGTGACTCTGGCCATGAAAACCTTCAATAACATATTTTATACTCAGCTGGGAAAGTGGGACAGGAGAAGCTTAAATGGGGATGTCCCTGACCAACTGGTGGTATACAACTATCCTGTTGTGGTGGGATTGGGGTTAGGTTTGTGAATTTCACGGAAGGTGACGTGCCTCCTCTTCCGTTCTGCAGCTGACCCTGCCAGTCCAAGAGTGACCACTCCTGAACATCTGTCCTATGAGAACCAAAACGAGAGGAATTCCCCTGAAATCAGCAATTATGAGGTGAGATGATTTCTCAGAACTGGGTGAGATCTGGTCGTTTGGCATGTCCACGTCATTCCTCCAAGGCATCTACAGTGTCAAATTGATGCAGTTTGATACCTCTTGAACTGCTGTGGCTGAAGGCTATGGATCCCATGGAGTTGGGCATCGAATGCTAGGAAATTGCATTGAAGGACCTAAAGAGTCCTCAATGTTCTCCAGACATCTCTAGATCCTCCAGAATAATCAGAGAAGGTTGACCATAGGATCAAACCAGAGATTCGATTGATCTCTCATTGACTCTCAACCAATTCAACACAGTTTGTGGCAGCCACAAAAACAAAGTTTCTGGAGTAAAACAACTACTTTCAAAGCAAGCCCCGCACAAGGAAACAGGAAATAACACTTTCACACCAGGAACAGATTTCTTTTTCCAGATTTTGTGACATAGTGTTATTATCTTCTGTATTATTATTTTTTTTTATTATTATTTTTTGCATTTGTTAACCGCCACTCTCAGCCCGAAGGCGACTCGTGGCGGTGTACAGAACACAGAACATGAAGACAACAGTTACAGTAAATCAGGATCATAACACACATCTTACTAACACACAGCTAATTAAACTAAAAATCCGCTTCGTCTTGTTTGGGTCATAATCAGTCTCGTCGTCTTAGTCCATTCCGGTGGTCATTCCAAAACATAGCACTTAATCGAAGGCCTTTTCGAAGAGCCAGGTCTTCAGGCCCTTACGGAAGGCCATGAGGGAGGGCGCCTGTCTAATTTCAGCAGGGAGGGAGTTCCACAGCCGGGGGGCCACCACCGAGAAGGCCCGCTCCCTGGTCCCCGCCAAGCGTGCCTGTGAGGCAGGCGGGACCGAGAGAAGGGCCTCCCCGGATGATCTCAAGGTCCTCGTGGGCTGATAGGCCGAGATGCGGTACTCAAGGTATTTTGGGCCGGAACCGTTTAGGGCTTTGTAGGTTAGCACCAGCACCTTGAATTGGGCCCGGTAGCTAATCGGCAGCCAGTGGAGCTGGGACAGCAAGGGCGTTGTGCGCTCCCTGCGTCCCGCTCCGGTTAACAACATGGCTGCCGCGCGCTGGACTAGCTGAAGCTTCCGGGCCGTCTTCAAGGGCAGCCCCACGTAGAGAGCGTTGCAGTAGTCTAAGCGGGATGTAACCAGAGCGTGGACTACCGTGGCCAAGTCAGACTTCCCAAGATACGGGCGCAGCTGGCGCACGAGTTTTAACTGTGCGAATGCTCCCCTGGTCACCGCCGAAACCTGGGGTTCCAGGCTCAGCGATGAGTCCAGGGTCACACCCAAGCTGCGAACCTGTGCCTTCAAGGGGAGTGCGACCCGTCCAGCACAGGCTGTAACCCTATACCCTGTTCGGCCTTGCGACTGACCAGGAGTACCTCTGTCTTGTCTGGATTTAATTTCAGTTTGTTCGCCCTCATCCAGACCGTCACAGCGGCCAGGCACCGGTTCAGGACTTCGACAGCCTCCTTAGTAGCAGGTGGGAAGGAGTGACAGAGTTGGACATCATCTGCGTACAGGTGACACCGCACCCCGAAACTCCGGATGATCTCACCCAGCGGCTTCATGTAGATGTTAAACAGCATGGGGGACAGTATGGAGCCCTGAGGAACACCACAGGTCAAAGGCTGTGGAGTTGAACAGGAGTCCCCCACTAACACCTTCTGGGTACGACCCTCCAGAAATGACTGGAGCCACCGCAAAGCGGTGCCCCCAAGACCCATCTCTGCAAGGCGTCCCAGAAGAATACCGTGGTCGACGGTATCGAAGGCCGCTGAGAGGTCCAGGAGCACCAACAGGGACACACTCCCCCTGTCTAGCTCCCGGCGCAGATCATCCACTAAGGCGACCAAGACCGTCTCTGTACCATGTCCCGGTCTGAAACCAGACTGTGCCGGATCCAGATAATCCGTGTCTCTCAAGAATACCTGGAGTTGTGAGGCCACCACGCTTTCCATGACTTTGCCCAAAAAGGGGAGATTGGAAACAGGCCGAAAGTTGTCAAATTTAGTGAGGTCCAGTGATGGTTTCTTCAACAGCGGTTTTATAATAGCTTGTTTTAAGCTCGCTGGAATCTTGCCTTCCCGAAGGGAGGCATTAACCACCACCGTTACCCACTCAGCCAATCCCCCTCTGGCCTCTTTCAGAAGCCAGGATGGGCAGGGGTCTAGGATGGACGTGGTAGGCCTCATTCCTCCAAGTATCTTGTCCACATCCTCGGGTTTCACAAACTGAAAAGAATCCATCAAAATAGGACAAGCAGGTGCTTGTGTCACATCCACAGAGACTGCATTTAATGTGGTGTCCAGCCCAGAACGGATCAAAGCGACTTTGTCTGCAAAGAACCGAGCAAATGCTTCACAGCGCGTGTCCGAATTGTCAGGGCTCCCACCTGAAGTAGGGGGAGTTAAAAGACCTCTGACAATCCGAAACAACTCCGCCGGACGGTTTTTTGCAGACGCAATAGTAGCCGCAAAGAAAGTTTTCTTTGCGGCTTTTATTGCCGCGGCATATGCCCTTAAAAAGGACACAAACCGTGCTCGATTTGGCTCGCTTGGGTCCGAGCGCCACACGCTCTCTAGTTCCCTCTTCCTTCGCTTCATCGCTGCCAGCTCCTCAGTGAACCAAGGAGCTGGTTTAGCTCGGTTACTTGAGAGGGGACGTTCCGGAGCGATCCTGTCAATTGCCCTGGTCATCTCCCCATTCCAGAGAGCGACCAAGGCCTCGACATGGTCACCTACCGAGGTGGCGGGAAAATCCCCAAGAGCCGTCAGGAATCCATTCGGATCCATAAGCCTCCTGGGGCGGACCAACTTAATGGGTCCTCCACCTCTGCAGAGGTTAGGGGGTGCAGTGAGTCTAAAACTGACCAGATGGTGGTCGGTCCATGGCAACGGAGAGATGGACAACTCCTCAACACCGCCACCTTGCTCCCATCCCTGGCAGAAAACCAAGTCCAATGTGTGTCCAGCACAGTGGGTGGGGCCAGTTATTTGTTGGGACAGCCCCATGGTTGCCATGGCAGACATGAAGTCCTGAGCCGCTCCTGAGAGGGTCGCCTCGGCATGGATGTTGAAGTCCCCCAGCACAAGGAGCCGTTGGGACTCCACCACCAGGCTCGAGACCACCCCCGCTAGCTCAGGCAGGGAGACAGTAGTGCAGCGAGGTGGACGGTACACTACAAGAATCCCTATTCTGTCCCGGTCACCCACCCTCAGGTGGACGCATTCGAAATTTGTGGTCTGCGGGATGGGGCTCCTGGTCAGATGGATGGAATCTCTATAGACCACTGCAACCCCGCCTCCCCGTCCTCCGGTTCTAGGTTGGTGTTGCACGGAGAAGCCTGGAGGACAAAGCTGGGAAGAGATTTACGCCCCCCGCTTCATCCAACCAGGTCTCCGTGATGCACGCCAGATCTGCCCGCTCCTCCAGGATTAAATCCTGGATAAAGGTCGTTTTTCCGTTGACAGATCTGGCGTTCAACAACACCACCTTCAAACCAGAGGGCCCGCTCACCTGGTTACACCAATTTACCTTAGGAGACCGGTTGGGGGTTGTCAATATGGATAAGCGGTCTGAATTAGGCCGAATTCGAGGTCTCCTTTTCCCGCAGCCAGGAAAGTGGACATTTCAAGACGGCAATAATAATATTAATATTATTATTATTATTATTAATAATAATAATAATAATAATAATACATCACACAATCCTAGACACTTGGGAAGTGTTCGACTTGTAATTTTGTGATTCAAAATCCAGCATATATATCTCGTTTGCTGTGACATATGGTGTTTTTGTGTCAGGATAATAATAATAATAATCATAATAATAATAGTAATATGCTGTGAGCTACTGTGTTTTGTGTCAGGATAATATTATTATTATTATTAATAATAATAATAATAATAATATGCTGTGACATACTGTGTTTTTGTGATGATGATGATGATGATGATAATAATAATAATAATAATAATAATAATAATAATATGCTGTGACTTACTGTGTTTCTGTGTCAGGATAATAATAATAATAATAATAATAACAACAACAACAACAACAACAACAACAGCAACGACAACATGCTGTGACATCCTGTGTTTTTGTGTCAGGATAATAATAATAATAATAATAATAATAATAATAATAATAATAGTAATATGCTGTGAGCTACTGTGTTTTGTGTCAGGATAATATTATTATTATTATTATTATTATTAATAATAATAATAATAATAATAATAATAATATGCAAAAGCAGGTATGATAATAATAATAATAATAATAATAATAATAATAATAATAATAATAATAATTTTAAGAAAAGGATTGAAGAGAAACAACTAGAAAAGCTGACACAATATGAGGATTTAAAGATCGAACTGCAAAGACTCTGGCACAGTCAAGTGGGGCTCTCTGGTGGGCCCCACTTGAACTGTCATGGCTCACTGCTACAAGGGGGTCCCAGTGGTGATTGGCGCACTGGGTGCAGTGCCTCAAGACCTTGGCCTGCACTTAAACACAATCAGCGCTGACAAAATTACCATCTGTCAGCTGAATTACCAACCTAACTCAGCAGAAACACAAGCAATATCCTGTTGACCCAGTGCCGTTCTAATTTGGTTCACCCCAAGCCAAGCAATGAAACGGGGCCATCATAAGCCACCTGCTGAGGAAGACAAAGAAGCGAGTGCAAGGAACGGTTACTTTATGATGATCCCACCAGGTGTGCTGTTATCAGAACGGCATAAATAAAATATCCGCAGTTGTGAAATGAAAACTGTAAGCGCTTGCTTCGAGTCTGCTTTTCTAGTACAGAAGGCTGTGAAAATGAGAAGTTGCAAAGATCATCCCTCGGAGGAATGGAGTGCAGCAGGATCTCTCCAAAAAGCAACACCAAATTTGGTTGTATCAGGTAATAGTTAAACCAGAAACACAGTCATGTATCCACACTGCACTGGGATTGTTTATTTATTTATTTATTTATTTTATTGTGCCGGGAGCGAACCAAACAGTTGTATTGTATTTTTTTAAAAAAACACGCACACACAAACACAAAGTTTGCAAACTTGGCATTCTGTCAAATGTCCTTTGACCAGTAGCTGATCACTGGGAGTGCCTCTGGTGTTGCTGCAAGGAGGTCCTCCATGGTGCATGTGGCAGGGCTCAGGTTGCATTGCAGCAGGTGGTCTGTAGTTTGCTCTTCTCCACACTTGCATGTCGTGGATTCCAAATTAGGGCTGCATTGGG